GAGGGATCCCCAGACTGGGGTCTCTGAACAGCTCACTTGGACTAGGCTCCCATAAGGGTTCAAAAATGCTCCCACCCTGTTTGACGAAGCCTTGTCCAGAGATCTCAACCTTCAGGGAAAATGATCCTGATGCCACCTTGCTCCAATGTGTAGATGACTTGCTTCTGGCTACCGAGCTGTACCGACACTGTGTTACTGCCTCTCAGGCCCTTCTAGAGACTCTTTCAACTCTGGGGTACCGGGTGTCAGCTAAAAAGGCCCAGTTGTGCCGCAGACAGGTGACTTATCTGGGCTACCAGATACATGAGGGCAAAAGAACTCTCTCGCTTTCTCAAGTTCAGGCTATCTTGCAGATACCTAAGCCTGTGAACAAGTGACAGGTCCAAGAGTTTCTCGGGGCAGTGGGGTACTGTCGCTTATGGATAATTCACTTTGCTGAAGTGGCTCAACACCTGTATGAGACTCTTTCCGGAGCTACTCAAGATCCCCTTGATGGGGGCTGGAGAGATGGCTCAGTGGTCTAAAGCACCTACTTGAAACAAGCTTGTCAAAGCACAGGGACCGCGGTTCGATCCCCCAGCACCACATGCCAGCCAGCCCCGCCCCCTGGTGGGCTGAGCTGGCCACACACACACACAATAAATAAATGTAATAAATAAGTAATTTAAAAAAAAAAAAAAAGATCCCCTTGAATGGGGCCTGAAACAAGAGGCTTTTAATGTCTTAAAAGGGGCTCTAATAGAATCCCCTGCTCTTGCACTACCAGATCTCCAAAAACCCTTTACCTTGTTTGTGGATGAAAAAAGAGGAATAGCAAAAGGGGTCCTCACCCAGTGATTAGGCCCCTGGGATAGACCAGTCGCATACCTACCCAAGAGACTGGACAATGTGGCAGCCGGATGGCCAGCCTGCCTCCGGATAATAGCGGCTGTGGCCCTCTTAGTCCAGGAAGGAAAAAAGTTAACCTTTGGACAACTCATCAGAGTGGTTTCACCACATGCCCTAGAGACTCTAATTAAGACACCACCAGACAAATGGATGACCAATGCCCGGATCCTGCATTACCAAGCTCTCTTGTTGGATCCTACTGCCGTCCAATTCAAGGAAACATCCTCACTAAATCCTGCGACTCTTCTGCCGGACGATGACACCTCTTTGCCTCTACATGACTGTGTGAGCATTGTCGAAGGAGTGACCAACCTCAGAAAAGATCTTACGGACATCCCGCTGCCCAACGCAGACCTGACCCTCTTCACCGACGGGAGCAGCTTCATCCATGAAGGTAAAAAGGTGGCAGGGGCAGCGGTGGTCTCCTGGCCAACAGCTATGGGTGAAAGCTTTGGAGCCTGGCACCTCTGCACAGAAAGCAGAACTCATCGCTCTGACCCAGGCTCTCCCTAAGAGACCCTAAGCCAAGGTAAGAGAGCTAGCATCTATACCGACAGCAGATATGCTTTTGCTACCGTACATGTACGTGGGATGATATATCAGGAAAGAGGGTTATTAACCTCAAATGGACAAAAGATTAAAAATGCACCTCAAATCTTAGACCTGCTTGCTGCTATATGGCTTCTGCCAGAGGTCTCCATCATGCACTGTAAGGCCCACACATCAGGAACTGATCTGATTTCACATGGAAATCGCCTGGCAGACCAAGTCGCCAAGGAAATAGCTACAAAATCAGTGGGGTCAGATCTTGAGGCCACCGAGGCTCAGATCTTATATATGATGCCTCCGATCATCTTGGACCCAATGTATACCAAGGGAGACTTACATTTGGCTTCACTATTAAACGCCAAGCCACGAGACTCAGACAAATAGTATCAACTGCCAGACAAACGTATCTTGGTACCTGAGGCTCTCGGAAGGGAGTTGATCCAACAAGCCCATTGGGCAACTCATTTAGGGGGCTCCAAGTTGGCCGACCTTTTTTGGGACCGATTTTTCATCCCAAAATTAACTAAACTGACTCACCTATCAAGCATACAATGCGAACAATGCATGAGAGTAAATCCAAAACACTCAAAGGCCCTAGATATGGAGAGATATCGAGGGACCTCACCCGGTGAACACTGGGAAATTGACTTCACTGAGTTCAACAAACCTGGTTTGGGAGGCTACAAGTACTTACTGGTTATGGTTGACCCTTTTAATGGATGGACTGAAGCCTTCCCCACGAAGTCTGAATCTGCTCTCGCTGTGGTCAGAAAGTTCTAACAGGAGATTGTTCCTAGATTCGGCCTACCTTTATCCCTGGGGTCTGACAATGACCCGGCTTTCATAGCCCAAGTAACTAAAAAATTAGCTCAGGCACTTCAGATAGATTGGAAACTACATTGTGCCTACAGACCCCAGAGTTCCAGACAGGTAGAACGTATGAATCAGACACTTAAGTCAACTTTGACTAAGATGTCTCTTGAAACTGGCGAGAACCGGGTAAGCCTCCTTCCTTTTTTAAATTTTATTTGTTTATTTAGTGTGTGTATGTGGCCAGCTCAGCCTACCAGGGGGCGGAGCTGGCTGGCATGTGGTGCTGGGGGATTGAACCGCGGTCCCTGTGCTTTGCTTAGCTTAGCTTGTTCTAAGTAGGTGCTTTAGACCACTGAGCCATCTCACCAGCCCCAAGAAAAGCCTCCTTCCTTTTGCCCTTTTGCGTGTTCGATGTACCCCTTATGTCTCGGGGATCTCCCCTTTTGAGGCCATGTTTGGGAGACCACCTCCCCTTCTACCCTGATTGGCAGAGAAAAAGGTTGCCGAGCTTGCTAACCAAGATTTAATTAAGTCCTTCCAGACACTCCAACCAGTGCTGATTTCCATACATCGGATTTTCTGACAACAGCATCCTGCATCGGAGTCTACCTCTCCAGCTCAATCTCAACCAGCTGCCGAACCAGGTGACCAAGTTCTCCTTAAACGTCTGGACTCCAAGGGACTTGAACCGCGCTGGGAAGGACCCTACACTGTTGTCCTCAGCACGCCGACTGCAATCAAGGTAACAGGAAAAACTGCTTGGATACATCACAGCCATTTCAAGCGTGTGACCACCACCTCCCCTGGAGGGGAAGACTCAGATAAGTGGACTGTTGTTAAAAACCCATCCAATCCTTTAAAGGTTAAGCTCCAAAAATGTTCCTAACACTGTTTATGGTTTTGTCCCTGCCCCTTACTGGGCTGAGTAAATCATTCCATCAGTCCCTCAGGGGCGAATATAGACTAACTGATTATGATGCACGTGAAGTCTTAGTGACCAACTCCACGGGTGAATACTTAACCTTGGATTTGTGTCATCTCCTTCTGGGGGCAACCTGTTATCTAAACACAGCCGTTCCATCTGGATCTCATGGATATAGTAATCTCCGAACCGACTCGATCCATTGGCATTGCAAAGACACCCGATCCCAACAGCAGCTCCAGGATGTACAATGGTACATTTGCCCCCAAGCGCAGAAACCTTTGCCCAAAGACCAACAGGCTATTGGGTTTGGGACAGGCTGGAATACCTACAATTGTGGCCAAAAAAGAGAAAGTCAACATTTTTGCTACCAATGGGGTTGCGAGTCTATATCCCCTTGGGGAGGACAAAAGGACAACTATATCATGGTTACTTGGGGAACTCCCCCTAGGACCTGCCCCATAGGAAAATGGGGATGCAACCCTATAATAATCCAATTTCAATCCCGAGCTGATTGCCCCGGATGCTTTTATCGGGGAAAGCATTACAGTATCCGGCTATATGTATCGGGAAATGACCCGGGTAGATCCTTTACCATTCAATACGTCCCCCACCAGTCTGATCCGCTGACACATAATCGCCCAGTGGGTCCTAATCCTTTGATTCCAGCTTCTAAGCTTCAGACTGTAACCCCAGAAAAACCTGTCACTTCACCTAAGACACCTGTTTCTCCTACTCCTTTCTCTCCTTCGTCTCACAGACCTCCCGAACCTCAAGATCCCCGTGATCCTCTCCTCCCTCTAGAGATCGCCTATTCCTTCCTCAACCTAAGTAATCCCAATCTCACGACTGAGTGCTGGCTCTGTCTTTCCCCCAGCCCCCCTTTATATACTGGCACTCCAATAGTCTATAATCTGTCTCAGTTCGTAAATACTACACAAGCCTTACTACGCTGCTCCCATCACCAGTCTCCCCCTTTAACCCTGGACAATGTTCTCCCCGTCCCAGGGACATGTTTTATATCACAGGGCTATGCCTTGTCTGATGATTACTATTCTCCTTTGTGCCAGCCTCACCTCACTTTTCCTGTTTATAACCAGTCCTATCCAGCTAATCAGCTACTTGAGGCCCCAAATGGAACTTGGTTTGCCTGTTTGCATGGAGGAATAACTCCCTGCCTACAACATAGACCCTTCACTCAGATCCTGGAGTTATGTGTCCTGGTCCACATCCTACCCCAAGCTTACTGGTACTCCTTAGAAGAGGGGCTCAGACATCTAGATACAGGGGGTCGATTCGCTAGGGCAAACCCAGTGCTGGTGCCGATGTCACTCGGGATCGGAGTTGCTGGATCAATGGGGCTGGGTATTTCAGGATTAGTGGTCGGAGATCAAAACTTTAGATGGCTTAGTGAACAAGTTGATAAAGATTTATCCAGCTTGCAGGACTCTATAACTAAATTAGAAGAATCTCTCGGCTCGCTGGCAGAAATGGTGTTACAAAATCGTAGAGGGCTAGATTTGCTACTTTTAAAGGAAGGGGGACTATGCTTGGCCTTGGGAGAAAAATGTTGTTTATATACAAATCATTCCGGAATTATAAGACAAAATATGGCAGAAATAAAACAGAGACTGATTGACAGGGAGAAGTGGAGACAGTCACAGCAAAATTGGTTTCAAAAATGGTTTAACTTTTCTCCTTGGGTGATAACTTTGTTATCCACTCTAGCAGGCCCACTAATTATCCTTCTCGCCCTAATAACTATCGGGCCCTGCCTTATCAACAGATTGGTTCAGTATGTTTCTGATCACATACATTCAATTAAACTCATAGTTTTATAACATCGTGAATGGCAACCATTACCAAATGAAGAAACTGAAATTAAATGATTTAAATTTCTGACCAAAATCAGTGGGGAATGTCATAACCTGACCAAAGCGTCGCCATCTTGTTCTGTATGCGCCAGTCTAAATGCTGTAACTTTCCACTGTGCCCCATTCTCTACTTGAGAACCTGCAGTTGGGCCTTTCTCACGCTGTCCTTTGTGCACACCTGAATCTGGTTCCGGCCCAATGCCCTGTTCTTGCCCTTGTTCCCATCTACAAACTGTACCCACCACTGCACCTGTTATTGTTCATTAGAAACAGGTAATTTTTCAATTACCTGTAGCCCCTAGATGAACCCTTGACGTCCGCTTTTGTGGTTTATTGGCTTAACTACCCACTCCCCTCATCCTCCCGGCGCGCACCTCAGCATCTTGCCGGGGTGTCTGCCGCTGGGTACCAGCTAAAATAAAGCGCTTCTTTTCCTTTCGAGCCTGCCTCATTTTTGAGTTACAACAATTATGTGTACCTAAAATGTACCAATAAAATCTGCTTGGAGAAAAAAGCAAAAAAAAAATTTTTTTTTTAGTCTCTTCACTAGCTCAGAGTTCAATGTGCCCCCCTTTGATACTAGGGATTAAATTTAGGAGCTTTGCAGAGCCCTTTTTGCTTTTACTTATTTTATTTTTTATTTTGTGTTTTAGGGAAGGGTCTACAGGGTGTTCAGGATCTCACTACTAGATCGGACTACTAGTGATCTGCCTGTTCACAGCCTCCCAAGAGCTGGGATTACAGGCGCATGCCACCACGCCCAGTCTCAATTGCCATCTCAGCATGCCCTGGGGGAGGGGCTGGCATGGCAGACCCGGGTATTTTTTTAATATTTAAGACAGGGTCTTGCTAAGTCACTAAATTGCCCAGGCTAGGTTTGAGCTTGCAGTCCTCCTGCCTCAGTCTCCTAGAATGGTGGGATCACAGCTGGGCACCACCAGAACTGGTTAAGTTCAGAGTCTCTGTGGCTGTCTCTGAAGGCCTCTGGGATCTACCCCTCCCACCCTGCCCCTCCTCTCCTCTCCGAGATCCAGCTGCTTTCCGGTTCCCAGGGGGCACCATACCCACCTGACCTCTCTGCCTCTGCTCCTGATGCTTTCTCTCCCTGGGGTCCCTTCCACCAGGCTGGAGCACAATGACCCCTCCTGACATCTTAAGTCCCATCGCCCCATCAACCTTGCCAAGGGGCCCTGGACGCACTGTCCCAACCCCATCATACCGTCTCAAGCCTCCATAGCATTTACCACTTCCTGAGCTCATCTTGAGAGTGTGCCCAACACACCAACGTCTGAATCTACGCAGAACTTGAGGTTCCATGAGGTCAGGGGCCATTGCTGTCCCTTTCACAGGCAAATCTCCAGCCCTTGGAATAGATCCTGGCCCAGAGTAGGTGCTCAGTAAAAGCTATACTGAATGAACCATGAAGTCCCACCTCACACCCACTCCTGACTACACCCCAAGAGACATGGAGGTGGAGGAATGGGAGAACCTACACATGCCTAGCAATGTTATTCCTGGTGAATATGCAAGAGAAGTGGAAAGATAATGTTCACACAAAAACCTCATTCCAGATTGTGCGTGGCAGCCTTATTCAAAACAGCCGACTCAAATTTCCTGTCGGCTGACAAACATGAGAATTAAAAGTGGTTTATCGCTGCGATGTAACTTGAGTGAGCAAAGAGGAATGAGGTGCTGACGTAAAGTGACCTGGGCGAAGCTCAGAACCATCACACTAAAGCCTAAGAACTCAGACACTGAAGGCCACATGTGGGGTCATTTTTTTTGACATGAATTGCCCAGAACAGGCAGAGCAGCCAGTGGATCAGTGGTTGCCCGGCAATGGGGAGGGGATAGGACAGAGAAGGACTATTTAGGGTTTTGGGGGTGTGTCTCAGTTACTTTTCCCTTGTGGCTGAGACAAAATACCCAACACCCCAAATTAAAGAAGGAAAGGTTTATCTAGCTCATAGTGGAGGTTTCAGTCCGTACTCGCCTGGCTCCAAGGCAGAGTAGCACAGGGCAGAGGGCAGCTGTTCATGGTGGTGGAAAACAGCAAAGAGCAAAGGGAGGGGCAGCAGCAGAGAGGGAGCCTCTTGTCTTTCCCCATATTGCTTTCAGTCTGTCCGCCCCACGGCGGGTGTAGCGCGCATGCCCAAAATCCCAGCATGGCATCATGGCTTAATCGCTAACTCTGGAAGCTGCCCCACGGCTGCATGAGGCTTTAGGGGGACACCTAGACACAAACCATAATGGGGGAATGACAGAATGCTCTGAAATTGGACAGTGGTGAAGGCTGCATAATTTGGAGGAGATACTAAGGGCCACTGGCTTGGGCCACTGAGAGAGTGAAAGTATATTTATTATTTTATTTAAAAGGTGAGGGTTTTTTTTTTGTTGTTGTTTTTGAGACAGGGTCTGGTTATGCAGCTCAGGCTGGCCTTGAGCTCACTTTGTAGCCCAAGCTGGTCTCAAACTCTCAAAGATTCTCCTGCCTCAACCTCCTGAGTGCTGGGATTATAGGTGTGCACCACCCCACCCAGCTAAAAAAGGTGAATTTTGAAAGTATGTGAGGTCTGTGTATCGTAAAAACAGCCCTGCAAACAAATGCTCACAGCAGCTTTGCTTAGAGCAGTGAAAACGGAAAGCAACCCCAGTGTACATCAATGGATTAAAGCATAGAAAATGTGGTTTAGCTCTAAGATAGGCTATGATTCAGCAAAAGAAAGGGAATGGGAATCCACGCTACCCCTCGGGTGAGCACTCTAAACGTTATACCGTGTATTCGTTAATTCTATGTATATGAAATGTCCAGAACAGGCAAATCTAGGAGACAGAAAGTGGGTCAGTGGTTTCCTAGGCCAGGAGGAGGAGGAACAGGGGTTGGGGAATGACCGCTAATGGGTACCCGATTTCTTCGGGGGATGAACATATTGTGAAATCCAATGACGGCAATCTTTTCACCGCCCTGAATGTACTAGAGGCCACGACACTGTGTGCTGTCTGTGGGGAACCTTACGGTGTACAAATCAGAAAGTCGTTTTAAATTCATTCAGCGCAGGAAGAAATGAGAAGATAGAGTGGGAAGAAGACGGGAGGGATAGCACGGAGAAACTCTTCTCCATGAAGACTGGGTGGAGCTGATTCTCTAAAGAAAGCATCCTCGCTGGGAGGACCAGGTCCCTTTTTGTCCCTGTCTCTCTGTGTCAGAATTTAGCAGAGAAGTCACCCACGCCGGGCTGGAGCAAAGTGCCTCCTGCCTCGGAGCACGGCTGCCCCCTGGTGGCTAGGTGGAGGGAACACAGTAGGGGAGCAGCCCTGGGGGACGGTCGCGTAGAGTGTTGCGGAGGCCCTGGTAGAGACTATGACGGGAGAAGCTTCTAGGTGCCAGAAGTCAGGAAAACACTGGGATGGAGCTCTGGGATACTTTTCATAGTCTGAGGCTGATGTCTGAATTCTCAGTATTGCAATTGTTGCCCGCCCCCTTCCTCTAGGGGAGCCGGGGTGCAGGAATGTGTTTGTTGGTGCCTGTCACACAATAGACTTGCTAAAAATGCATGGACTGTAGTTTGTTACATTAGGAAGAACTGAGAGAAGCCTGGGGTTGAATCCAGTATCCATGGTATCGATCCAGTGACTTTGGGTACATCGCATGACCTGGGGGCCTGAGTGGATGTAGGGAGACCACCTCCCTCCCTTGGAATTGGGAGGAGTTGAAATGCTTCACACATGATGTTGTGGCTTGTGTCTCAAAGTCCCTCCAGAGCCTCATGCAGTCATGGGAAGCTGGCTTTTTGGAGATCCCTGAATCTAGAGTTTGTGATTCATTCACTGTCCAGTGCTGGGATTGGGGCTGTGAGGGTTACACCTGCCCTAAGGTGGGGGTAGCCTGTATACAACGTAAGGGATGAAAGGAGGCTCGTGCCTTCCTTTCGCTCTTGTTGCTTTTGCTGTTGTCCTTCACCACAAATGACTGTTCTCTGACATGTGTCACCCTGCCTTAGGGCCAGCTGAGTATGGCCTGAGACCACTGCAAACTGTGAACTACGTAAACCTTTCCTCCCTTAACTTTGGGAATTGGGTATTTGATCACAGCAACAAGTGAAAGGGATCTAAGACACATGGGTAAAGCACCAGGAACATCCTTGGAGCTCCTGGAAGCAACCTGAGGTCTGCAGGCCTGGGCTGAGGATTCAGAAGATTTGCAGACATGCTGGGTGGGTAATCCTAGGCAAATAGTTTTATGCTTTGGGCCTCTGTTTTTACAGGGTCTCACTACACAGCTTAGATTCATAGTGATCTCCCTGTTTCAGCCTCCCCAGTGCTGGATTATAGGCGTGCACCACCACACTTGGTCTCAGTGGCTGGCTCAGTGTGCCTAAGGGTGGGGCCAGTGTAGCATGTGGTGCCGGGGATTGAACCCCAGTCCCTGCACTTGTCTAAGCAGCGCTTAGTCCAATGAGCCATCTCATTGGCCCTCGTGCAGTCTCCTTTAAAAGTGACAGAATGACAGCATCACCTCTGCTCCTTGCCTCCCTCTGCTGACTGATATTGCCAGGGGACTGCACCCCCCCCCCAGTTCACAGTGAAGAACAGCAGCATCCTCATCTGTGGGACTTTTGCCACCAATGATGGGGGCCAGCAGAAGCCAACCATCCCAAACCAGAAAATAAAAATACAAATGGAAGCCAAGGGCCGTGAAGAAACATAGGAACTGGGACAAAGGTGGGGAGAAATCCTCTAGGGAAGGGGAGAGATCCTCTGGAGAAGGGGAGAAATCCTCTGGGGAAGGGGAGAAATCTTCTGGGGAGGGCATTCAGGGAAACTGAGGCATGGAGAGAGGTACACTGAAGGCACATTTGGGTATCTCTGTCCATAGCCACAGGCCATAGGCTCTCAGAACCCAGAGAGGTCACTTGGGAGAGGCAGGCAGGGCCCAGGGTTCACAGGGACACCT